TTTGATGTTCTGCTAGTCTATTTGAATTAATTTCAATCTTATTGAAGCTGATTTTATAAATTGACATATATTTTTTCGCACAGTTTTTTTTTTTTAATGTAGTACTTTTATTTTAAAATTGGCAATAATTTAAAACGGAATTAATAATTTATAATAACAATATAAAGTATGCATGGTTTTTGTTTCTACGAGAAATTATTTCATATTTACAAATTGGACCCCAAATTTATGCAAATTTTCCGTTCGCAGGAAGATAACAATCTTGGAATACCGGTTAGGCGGAAATCCTTTGCGGCCCCTTGTGTGCAGCTCAAAGAGCTCAATTTCCATGAGATCAGGGGTTGGCTTGCGCAGGTGGGCAAAGCGAGCGCCCGTCAGGATGCATTTTGTCGTTTATTTTGCGGGCGGCGGCGCTTTATTTTATTGGCTGGAAACCAATTTCGCGTCGAATTGTGCAATATTTCGTGTGTGGGTCGGTCTCGCTCGGCACGCCGGCTGAATGCGCAAACAGGCCGAGGCGGGCGGGCGAGCGAAAAGTGTCACCGTTAAGGCTGAAGTATGATGACGTTAAACCGGAAATAAACACACACGCCGTCAAATTTTAGTGCCGGAAAAATTAAACCGCCAATTATCGTGCGCCGCGGCTTTGCCTAATCGCGTCGTAATTTCGGGATTCTTTCCTCTTGAGCGGCTGAAATATTGAATTGTTTTTGTCCAGCCATATGAATAAAAAGAGAAAAGGGGAGCGAGCGATAAATTATCATAATAACAATAATACTGAGCTGGAAAAGTTCCCGCAAACTTTTGCCGGCTGAGCAATTCATAAGCATACATGCACGGGGAATTTTTGATCTACGGCCAAATAAGGAAGGGTGCGCGAAAATGCTTGAGGGGTTGGGGAATTTTTTTTATTAACTGCCAAAAGCAAACTGCGGCGAGCCTTTTAGTCTTATTGCTGCTTCGCAGGAGCCCATATGATTAATGACTCAATTAGTAGATTGCATCGAACCAAAGAATCTCTGCCCGATTGTGCTCTGAAGTGCGGATCAAGATTGAACGAGAATATTTTTTCAACGCTCAGATTTGGAGAAGAAGAGGGAAAAAATGGCGTTTTTTTATTCAGCGGATCCAATCTTATCGGAGGCAGCCATTAAGTGAATAATAAAGCCGAGGAATGTCATTATCAGAAAAGTGTTGAAAGGTTAGTCAGGCGATGCGGCAATAAAAGAAAAATGCGCGTGCCTTCTTCATAAAAGCTGGGCGCGCATCTCATAATTGAAATTAAGTGGCCGGCTTGTCGCGCCGCAATAAAATTCAATTCAAAAGTACTTTTCTTCCTCTTTTTTTTTATTGACTCGGGGATTTTAAAAACTCGACGAGGGGAACGAAAGATGACGGAGCGAGCAGGCAGGTGAAATCATTTACGATTGCGAGATAAGCCCGGCTGGCAAGAGGCCCATAAAATTGGACTTGCAAATGCATCCCGTAAAATAAGAAATACGATATAAAAATCGGAAACGTCTTTCATGTCATCGGCTGAATTGAAATCAGGTTAAATGTCATCGCGCCAGAGTCGATAATACGGAGCGATTATTCTTCTTCGCTAGTGTGGTAAAATAACTTGCCTCTTGATAAAACTGTCTCTCCATCTCGGGCAAACTTTCCAGCAATAAAAATCAGTCTGAATACATAAAACCTATCGAGGGAGCTTCTTGACAATGCATGGAATATTTATTCCCAGAAAAAATATGAAAATACAAATGAATAAATAATTTCAACTTCCAGAGATAGTCATTTTCAATTTCACCACTGACGATCGATGGAAAACGCGGGCGCTCCTTTGAAATTTCGTAATGAGTGACGCGTTCAGATTATTATTATATCCTTTTGCAAGCCCCCCGATATCCCAGAGCAGGAGGCAATAATCAAAGGGCCGCAAGAGTGAGTGGACAGTGGCGTGTGATAAATTAATGCGCACCGCAGCAGGATCATTATCAGAGACGAGCGGCGGCTCAGCTGCATACACACACACCAGCATCATTAGCCTGACAAAAGACCTTCGTGCCTGACCCGCTTCTTCCTTCGCCTCTGCAGCAAACTAACATTTTCATATCGAACCAAGGGGATCGGACATAATTTAAGACGCCGCTAATTAGCGGACGTGTTGCGGCGACTGTAATTAAAGTAAGTCTGTTAATTCATACTGAACGCGCTCCGTGTGGGGTTGATTAATCCGCAACTCACGTCATACGGTGCTGTTTTATTTCCATACCATATTAAGAGAAGAGATCTGCAATTATAATTAGAAAATCTAACAACTCAGAAAAATGCATCGATAAAACATTTTAAAAATTTTCATTAGTATTGTATATTATTTAAATTTAAATATTTTTTTATAATAATTAATTTATTATTTAGACTTTTAATAATTTTATACAATGCAATTAGTTTATAAAAAAATTAAAATGATTAAAATATTATTTTATTGTTACACTTATTGTAAAATTTTGATTTTATTTTTCTAAGTTAGCTAAATCATCTTCAATTTAATTTCTTTATTTAAAACTTATTAATTTAATTAATTTAGATTTGTTATGTGACAGTTAATGTAAAAATTTCATTTAAAAGCATAATTATACTGTTTCCCCTTGCTGATTATATATGATTGGGGCTTGGCCAATTTAATTCAATTCACCATTTGCGAAATCGAATACCATTGGTTCTTATGGCAGCCTTATCTTGGAATGATTGAATCTCTTCAATCCTAAGATATGCTGTAGTAGATGCAAAATAAAAAATATTGGCGTTGGAAAAATCAAAATTGGTTCAGCGTGGGGCTGTAGTCAGGCGATCAAAGATTTGTAAAAGCTCAAAAAATTGGCTTCGGTTGCCTACTTTACAAATCTTTGATCGCCTGACTACAGCCCCACGCTGAACCAATTTTGATTTTTCCAACGCCAATATTTTTTATTTTTCATTTTGTACAACATGTCTTAGGATTGAAAAGATTCAATCATTCTAAGATGAGGCTGTCATAAGAACCAATGTTATTCGATTTCGCAAATGGTGAATTGTTCCCGGAAAATAAATTTTTATAAAAGAATTGAACTCTCGGTCACTTTTATTAATATTTAAGGTCTCAATAATAAAGCAGAAAAATATTCTTGTAATTATAATTTCTTTCCAACTTTGCTAAAATTAAGATGCGCAGAGCACCGCGCGATAAATTTGTAGCAAGTATCGCGCCTCTCTCTCTCTTTTTCTCTCCCCATCTCTGAATACTGTTGAAGAAGAAGACATTCGAGTTGGAGGAAGGGAAATAAAGAAAAGGTTATCGCCGTCGCGTATTTATAATTCTGCGTGTACAGACTAAATAAAAAGCAGGCGGAGGAGCTGGTGCTCTCCGCATGTGATGAATCTCCAAGTAGCAGGTAGGTAGGCAACCCGCCGCTTTTTATTCGAGAGCACCTCCGCCAACTTTCTTATGCTAACACAGAGGAGACGGAGCAACGTTTTGTCCCCTCCCTTATCAGTGCTGCTCGGCGGAGCCTAATTTATAGGGCTTGATAAAAATTTAATGCATTTAAAATTAAGCTGTAAAAATAAAAGATAAAAGCGGAGGCACTTCCTCCACAGTAATGACTGCATAATCTATATTATTTTAAAGGAAGTCTTCCCAAATAATCAGAATTTTTTTATTATAGAGACCAAAAATTAATACAAATCTAGACTTTTAATTAATTTTTGAACGTATGAACTTAATGATTTTAAATAAATCAAATTATTAACCGCAAAATAAAAATAGAAATAATTCTTAAGAAGGTCAGAAGCCTCTCACGAACATCCTCTCGATCTCTATTGTAATACTGATCGTTGTAAATGCCACCCTTTGAAATTCACGAGAGCCACTAATTACTCTCACAGTCGACCCTGTAATTATTTAATGAACCCCCGAGAGCCACTAGTTTATTTTCGCGAGTCACTCATTCCTCGACCAAAGGAGAATTCTTCTGCCTTTGTGCGGCGCAGCGACGCGAAAATTAATCAGAAAAGCGAGAGAGAGCGACTTCATTTCTTCTTCTTATTTTCGCCACGCTGAACCATTAATTAATTACAATCGAGCGAGAGCCCCGGAACAGCTGACGTAGACATTAAAATAAAAGAAATATCGCCACAAAAGGCGCCCACTCGCATACATTTCCCTCTCCTCTGCTTTTCCAGACTTTTCTGTGGAGCGTTGCGGAAAAAATCGCGGTGCTGCGGGTCGGAGAATTAAAAATCCTCCGCCGTTGGATCGCATTAAATAAAAACGCAGTCGAGTGATTTCCATTATACATAATACCCCTTTTGATGTGGCGAAAATGATTGATTTGCCGCGCCTGCGACACGTTTCTTTGTCGCTCGCTTCGACCAGCCAAGCGTGATATGGCGGTGTGTGTGCGTCGTCTTATTAATGTCATTTTTATCTCCTCGTTCCGATTCACCAGGCTTCGCCTCCTCTCCCGGAAAAAGCGATTTTGTATTTACACTCGAATCTTTCTTCTCCAATCACCTTTCACCCGCGCCGGATTAAAATTATTCGCCCATTGTTGTTCACACTTCACAGCACTTATTCATGGACAGTAAAAATGGTGAAAAAAAAAATACCGGTTATCTCTTAAAGGAACAATCCATTTAACAATTTCATTGTTGATTTTTTTTATAAATTTTAAAAAAAAATAGTAATTTTTGTAAATGGGACGTGGAGAACAGCACAAAAGAAAATTATCTAAATTTATAACTTAATTTTAACTATTAGGCCAGATTTTGAATAACAATGAATGATAGAATGATTAAACACAGAAATTGATTAGAAACATTTTTGTCTATTTTTAATGTGGTAAGAAATTAAAATTTTAATATTTTTAACTTTGTTATGAATATTAAAATTTGCTGGTAATTAATTTTTTAACGTTTCAGTTATTCCAAAAATGTTTCTTTGAAAAAAAATTGCCACTCACCGACGACGGTCATGTCTCCTCTCTCTGACACAGTCTGAAAAGAGGGCGCCTCCGCCGACACCTCGCACCTGTAGACTCCCGACGAAGAGAGATCCACGTGTGTCAGAACCACGGTGCTCTCCGAGGAGTTGTGCAGCTGAAAGAAACACGCCCGTTATATATTTTAAACAAAAAGCAACTGACGGATAAACCGTTAAATAATTAAACAGAGAAATTGCGTGGCATTTTGTCAGGTATGCCTCGGCGGTGGGGAATTAATTCGTGGCGTTTTGCATGCCTGAAAAGCAGATGGGGCCGGCAGCAGAAATGTCAAATTCCGTCTCGTTCCCCGGAGAACTTCCGATACAGAAGCAACAGCAGAGGCAAAGGCCGCCGCTTTCTTTTCCTTATCAAATATGTACAGTTTCGCGAGGCGTCTGACGCGTTTTATTGATGCGCCTCTCCCCGGTTTTGTGCGCCTCTCAGGCTATGAATTTATCGATCCATATGCCTCACTCTCGCTATGCATGCCTTTAATTTCCCACTATGTATGTGCGACTTTGTGCAACAGGTAAATAAAAAGTATCAAACGCACACAAGTCAAAGTTTTCTACAGGAACGTCTTTATTGGATACTGGTTTTAAGTCAAAATTAACGGAAGTTTTGATTAAAATTTACAGAACTATTTTCACAATTATTTCAAAATGAATTAAACGTTTTAATTCTAATTGGGAAAAATTTATAATAATTAATGTTAATTTATAACTTTTTCAGTTTCAAATATTCACATCTTCCAAAGCTATGATTCTGAAACTTGCAAAGTCTGAAAAGTTTCTAATTTTTTTCTCTTCAAATAGTTTGAAATAAAAATTAAAAATATTGACGAAATTCAAAAGTATATACGTATAGAGGGAACAAAACCCTATTGCATAAATTGGTTATACGCGATATTTTTTATATTTTCTTGCGTATACTTAAAATTCTAGTAATATTTGTATATTGAAGGGAAAAGTGGGAAAATGAAAGTTGATTTACTCACATCGACTGTGACTCCAGGCAGAGTGAAAATTTGCGTCGGTGGTCTATCCTGCGGAACGTATCTGTAGAACTCATTGCCATCCTTGTACCACTTGACCGAGTAGAGCGACTCCTGCCCCAGGTCGTATTTGCACTCGAGTCGCGCACTCTCGTCGCGAGCGATGTGTTTGGGAATTCGCACCTCCATCAGCTGCATCCCAAGAACGCCTGAAACATATACAAAAAAAATCAAACTTATTAAACCTTTAATTGGAGGAAAAGCAGAATTGACGAAAGCGGAACATCTTAAAGCAAGTCAAGTTGGCAGTGCCACTCATTTGCGGGATTAGCGAGAGCTGAGAGGCACTTTTGTCAAGTGCCACTAAGTAAGATCGAATTCGTTTGTCTTCTCCTTATCCCCCATCGCCACTTCATTATCAGATTGTCTTGATTCCGATTGATGTGATTTATGCTGTTCACAAGAAAGAATTCTTCCGACTTCATTTAAAGTTTTAAAGCTTTTTTACAATCCTTGATAATACACAAAGGCATGACGGTGTTCGCGTTTTGGCTGTCAAATCAGCCTGTGACGTCACATCAGTGAGCACCGAGCCCTTTGGTGAGCGTCAGCTTGGCCAGGTCAAGCGAAAAGCATTGAAAAATCACTGAAAACAGCGCCACCGGTGGCACATCGTTGGAACGTCTGATAACAACACGCCGCAGCTTGCTCTTTTTCTCGGCTCCGTATCTTGTTGAAATCAAGGAAACGGAGGAAATTAAAAAAAAAAAAAAAAAAAAAAAAGATTTCTTCGCTTGGTTTTTATTCATTTGGAAAAATATGCACCTACTATATCTAATTTAATTTTTCTTCTCAATATCTGATTATTTTCTAAAAATCTCTTTCCTCTTGGTGCAGTTTTCCGCTAAACTGACAGACTTAAAATTGTTCGTGTCACGTTTCATGAGGTGAAAAGGTCACTGCACTCAATTGTTCTCAGTGAAAGAGTCGATTTTTTTTTCGCTTGCAACGGACAAAATTCGAATCTGCTCCCCCGCGACAAGAGCAGTCCATCACTTTTACGGTTTTATTTATTGCAAATGTATGCGCCGTAAAAAAAGTTTTTCGCTCCATATTGATTCCGATGGCGACTTTTTATATTTATACGAGCGCCTTTGGACATAAATCGGCGACGGCCGAGTGTTCATATAACATGTACTTTTCCAAACGTGGGCCCGCTGCGAGTTGTGTGTTTGCTGGAGCCATGTGTGATGATGAATTTATAATGCGGCGAGAAAAGATTGCTCGCGGCGCGTAAATGGCTTTTCGGTTTTGCTGCAAGACGCGGCCATAAAATATTGACACACGTACACAAACACACTCAGCAGTCTGTTATTTCTCTCTTTTTCCACCCATATTTTTTTTGCGTCGTGAATGCCGAGAGTGGCGTAAAATCATGTAATGCGCAAAAAGGAAACAAGATTAATATTTATAAACTGTGTTTGCATAAATATTTTTGGAAAATCTACATCTCTAAGCAGATATTTTAACTTTTAACTAATTTTAAAAACTTACTAAAAGAGATATAAATAGCTAAAAATATGATTATTAATAATTTTGTTAATATTAAATTATAAAATTGTTCTCATTATTCCTTTTCAATGTATAATATTTTTTTCTAATTGTTTATTGGTTGTTTTATTTTTATTCCTCAATAATATGTAATTTAATATATAAAGTATGATAAATAACGTTAGATTATTGAGCTATTAAATTTTATTTTAAATAATGATATTGATATCATTTTATTATTTATGATTATTGAACAAAATACTTCGTGATCGAGTGTCGGATTAAATCAGATTATAATCGTTTCATTTAAATTAAGTATCTAATATTATTCCTTTACTTTCTTCCTTTGTGGTCTTTTCATAGTTTATCACGGTTTTAACCAAACAATAATAATTTTCAAAATAAATGACAACCAATTAAGTTAATTTTGTTGTCAAGGTAATATTTTAATTTTCTCATGTTTAATGAATTATAAGTGAAGCTTTTTTTCAACTCAAGTCTCCATTTTTTATTATTTTATTTTTAATAAGAAAGTAAATGCGGGTTGAATGTGTGTCTTTTAATATGGTCCCACTTTTAATTTTGGTGGCACAAGCAGGCGGCTTTGTTTGCAGCAAGGTCATATTTATTTAATTTCTGGCAAAACAAGAAGCTCGTTACGAGTCCCGCAGGAAAAAACAATTTCTCGAGATTCGCGCACACAAACGTAGCGTGGAGAGCTAGAACTGCTGCTCGTAATAAAACGGAATAACGGGCATGCAAGAATTCAACTCACGGCGACGACGGGACCTCTGCTCTCTCTGTACATAGTATTTCGGAAAATAAACATGAAAAGGGTGGAGAAAGGAAGAGGGAGGCAGCCAACGCGCAGCGAAATAATATAAAACACGGAGTCGAAAAAGAATTTCTCGGCGGCGCTCGCATTGTTTGCTATTCTTTTTTTTTTTGGCCTGGGCAAACGCGGCGCAGTGGTAGCGGCAAAATCTTTTTATGTGTGTTTTTACTGCTTAATTATACGGGTCGCTTGCAAAAATTGTGAGTGAGAGAGAGAGAAAGCGAAAATCCAGCCAGCCAAAAACACTGCACATTCGCGGCGCTCTCACTTATTTTGCCTCACTCCCGTGTGCTCCGGCGAAATTAACAGCGGCGTCAATTATTCACCTGGAAGGACGCGGGCTGCGAATTGTTGTCCTGCAAGCCCCAAGTTCATCGTTAAAGTTTAAAGCCGACATCGAACCACCAAAAGAATTCTACAAAGCGTCGGCATCGTGGCTTTAAGAATGCGACATTCTTTAAAAGCTTAAAATTTATATAAGAAGTTTATGACGATACTTTTTAATTAAAAATTTATGCTAAATATAAGCAGTTTATTTAATTATTATTTTTATTTTTTAGAAATTACATAATTTAATTTTGTTTCTGAAGAAATTGACACTGGAGGAGATGATCATGGAAGTGAAGAGATGAGGCTTTTCCTAGTTATTAAAATTGCTTTTATTCACACAAAAAAAACGGCACTACCAGTTTTGGATACGGTCTGCGACCCTATTTCATGGGCAAAAAAGAAAAAAATAAATAAATCATCAAATTGAACACAAAAATTGAAATTTCTAAAAAAATCAGAAAATAGGTTGGTAATTGAATTTGTTAGTTTTAAGATTTTCTTACTTTTCTTGCTCATGAAATGGGGTCGCACCGTTACCGAAACTGGTAGAGCCATTTTTTGTGTGTGAATAAAAACAATTTTAACAACGAGGAAAAGCCTGACCTCTTCATTTCCAACATTTAAAAATACAAGGATTAATTTTGCCGACTTAGATTATACATAATACATAATTATTGAAGCAAATTTCTGTTCAATATAATTTTTTTATTTAGATATTTTACATTTTGAATGAAGGATGAATTTATTTCAGATCTTATAAAATACATATTATTTTATTGTGTCATATCGCCCCAACATACAAATATCACTTGCAATTAAAAACCAAGGTTTCGTTTCGATTATTAATATGTAATTGATCCTGAAAACATTTTGATTATGGCTTACAGACCTTTTTAATAAATTTATATTTAATTAAATTTGTAATTTTAATTAAATGGTTCTTTAAGTTTAAAGTTCGATCTTTTTATATTGACAAATAAGTTAAATGATATAAAAAAAAAAATATGTTTATCTCATTTTAATTGTTCAAAATGTTTAAATGAAATGAAAAAGAAGTTAAAAATTACAATAAACTGGAATTATTATTTTGATATGTTTAACAATATTTATTCTGAATCGTTAAATGAAGCTAAATTCAATTATTTATTTCAACTTCATACATTGATGCTCGATTTTCTTGGATAAAACAATAAGGGATATTCACAATGCTTGGACATGTGAAAATAAAAACACTATTAAATTTTATTCTGTACACGTTAGCAAGAAGACGCCGCAGTGGACCAAAGGAAATTGTAAAATATCAGATTAATTAAAAAATATCGGGCTTTTTTTATATAATAAAAAAGATCTCAATTAAAAAGTGTAGTTCAATTAGGATAAATTTTGTTATCCAACCTTTAATGAAGAAACCCTTTTCATCTTTCCTTTTTTAATTAATCCATAACAGCATCATTGTCTGCATAAAGGAGAATAAGGAGGAAAACGTTTTCCTAGTTCCCATTACCGACTGCAGGCGAAACTTTGCACAAAGGCAGAAAGTTTCCCAGAAGCAATTTGGCCGATCCGTAGTCAATTAAGAAGAGGAAACTGAAATGCAGTGGAGCGCGGTGTGTCAACTTGCGGAAAAGCGGCGAGTGAAGATTATGGTCTGTGCACTTCTTCCTCCGCGTCCTGCTCTCGAGTGCAAACTACTTTATTAGGTATAATTGGCTCGTCGGGGTGCTTTGCACAAAGTTTGTTCTTTTTCACACAACTCAAATAAAATGGAGCGCGTGTTTGTTGGAAAGTTAGTTCTTCTCCCGACCGACTCTTTGCTCGTCCCCGGCACTTACAATGCTCCAAGGTATAGCGCAATTTTTGCTCTTCCTCTCTCCGGCAGTCGAGCATCTGCCACGCGTGCCGAGCCGATGAAAAAGCTGGTAATATTCCCGCCTGTTGTCTATTGTATGGCCTTTTTCGGGTCCCCGCGGAAAAGGCAGCAAAAGAAGTTGCGACGCCTGCCGAGAGCCACGACGGATGGCCTCTGACGAGCTGTTTCTTCTCCAACTTTGGGAAATATGAACAAGAGCCACAAAAAGTTACAAAAGGGGAGCTTTTTACAGAAAGTAATAATATTTATTTTAGTAAAAATAAATTTAACAAGTACAAAATAAATAATTTAATTTTTTTCCTCAATTCTAATTATTTTTATCTCTAGATTTTCAGCGTTTTAATGCGATTTTATTTAATATATATTGAGATTGAGATCAAAGCTAATTTAAAGTAATTACAACAAATTTAATTTATTGTTAATTTGATTCTTAAGTTTGGTATATTTTTAGCTCCTGAAAAATAAGGTACAAACGGAAGTGGGGGTTTTTTTTTGTAATGAACATTTTCAATAAATTTAGTAGAGTTTATTTCTTAGGAATGGAAGTTTTGTTATGGGAAAAAGACTAACAAAAAAAGGATTGACCATAACGTAGTAAATTTGTGTCACTTTTGATTGCACTC